GCTCCTGATCTTTATAGCACTTGTCCATCTAAACCACCACGTGTGCGTTATGAGCCATTGCAAGACAATCATATCAGTACACACGTGGTACACGGGCCTTCATGGTGAATTTGGCGACGGAGTTCTCCGAATCGAAACATCTACTATCGCGGGCTCCGTTAAAACTACCGAGTGGTGCAGACTTTTGGGAGTTCAACCCACGTACCGAGCACCGTGCCTGAGTTGAAGCCACGGTGCTCGTTAAGGCAAACTGGCCAACGAGGGCCCGCTGTGACGCAGCATGCTCCTGTGTCATCGCATGATAATATTCGTTTCAGGCCGAGTGACCCGATAAAAAGCAATTCTAGTGCGCGTAAATGAGTTCGGGATCCGATTCTGCAGGCAGACGTACTTAAGACAGCGTCAGTGCTTTGCTCAACTGGTATTAGAGAGGTCCCTGCAACTCATGTTATGGAGCGTGGGGCTGTGACCAATGAAATGCAAGTATGCGACTTTGCGTCACAGAAACCACCCTCATGAGCCAACAATTGACAGGTGGCAACCGGTTAGAAGAGCTTAACTGAAACGGGGTCCGATGCGCTACGGCACTGGCCAAGACTTTTTGATGCGATTGTCTTTGAACTGGGATGGGCCGATTGGGGTAGTTGTATCGGCATCTTGCGACTAATTACGCAAAGAAAATGTTGCGGGCCAATATCTCGGAAGGAGTCCCAAGGATATCCTCGCAAACCATTCGGAAACCTCCGAGTCGCCCGATGGATATCTGGAGTGATCCAAGCGTGCTTTGTAGTGTGCACAATGTCATCATAACCAGCGCGAACCTACGCACTTTTACCGTGCCCAGTCTACACTGGGGCACGCATTGATATTTATAATACGCATTTACGCGCATCATTATACAAAGTCATGCAGGTACATACCTGCATTGTAGCGTCCCTTCGTGGGTGCTGCCGTCCCAGCTAGCTGCATGGCCGCTCGGTTCTTTTGACGTGCCCGTTCTCGGCGAGGTCGTATGTCAGGCGGACGGCAGCTCGCGCGGAGTACGGCTCATTAGACCCACCAGTTAGGAGACAATGCCGAGCCGGGTCATTAACGTGCTCCGTCTCCGGTTGCTGTCACAGGATGTAACACAGCGATGAATCGCGAAGGCAGGCGAGGGGTGACGGGTGGGGATGTGAAACGGCACTCCGTACAGCCCTGAATGCGAGCGAAGGGTGGTGGGTGGCGATGTGGAACAGCACACCGCACAGCCCTGAAGGCGGGCGAAGGGTGGTGGGTGGGGATGTGAAACAGCACTCCGCACAGCTCTGAAGGCGGGCGAAAGGTGGTGGGTGGGGATGTGAGACAGCACTTCGCACAGCCCTGAAGGCGGGCGAAGGATGGAGGGTGGGGATGTGAAACAGCACTCCGCACAGCCCTGAAGGCGGGCGAAGGGTGGTGGGTGGGGATGTGAAACAGCACTCCGCACAGCCCTGAAGGCGGGCGAAGGGTGGCGGGCGGGGATGTGAATCAGCTCTCCGCAGAGCCTGCCTTTGATCGCAAGACGTTCTTCAAGGACTTCAGCTGTAAAGAATAACAGGGAATTTGAGTAAGGTACTGGGAGTTGTTGTGTCTGGCTTTGAAGTGACCAAAATATTTAAGACTAAGAAAAACGAATTCGGGACATGTCTAGATTCAGTTCCTCTTTGAAGCCAGTGCGCACTATGGTACATCATCGTTGGCAACAGCCAAATGGTTTGCTGGTTGTCTACCAATGCGAACGTGCATCAGAACTGGAATGGAGTGGGAGTATCCTCCGCTGGTTAGCGAATTGGAGGCATCGTTCAAGTCGTGTTTTTCTGTGCTCAGCTAGTGTTGATTCTGTGGGACGCCCCGACACAAGGTATCCCATCATCATACGCGCTTTTTCCAACTTTATTTGGCACAAAAGCAGGACCTGTATGTTTGGGGGTAAAGATACCAACGGGCACATAGGCCTGGCGCTAAGGTCTGAAGCAGACACGCTAACAACAAGGAGGAATCGTAGCTCGCACTGCAAACAGTCTAATTTATTAGGGCTGACAGGATATTCAGCCAAGTCCACCCCTAAGCTCTTGTTTTCTCCACGGCAGCCATTTGGCGCGTTCCTTCTGTCACTAGTTCTGTTTGTGAGATGGGGTTACAGCAAAGCCAACAAAAGCTTCCGAGGCAGTTTTGAAAAACACCAAAGCTGCCTTCATTAAAACGTCTGATGCGCACAACATTCATCAGTTCGATATGCCCGATATGATGCCAAAATAAAACACGGAGCGGAGCAAACGTTGAGTTGTGAAATGATAGCACAAACAGGCGCTGACAACATGAGGAGCACGTGAATGTTGGATCCGCATGATGTCAACACCGCTCCAGTGATGAGATCACTTCGGCGTCGAAAGTTAGCACGAAAAGATTCTCGGTCACTGTCCTCAAAACAAATTAAAGTCAATGCACGATTACATTACACAGCGAGTCACGTGCGCAGGGCTTAACGCCAAAGACCATTTCAAAACCTCTGTTACTTCATACAAAACATAAATTTAGATAACTGTTTTACAAAATGTGATGACCGCACTTTAAAACATTGCATCGCACTCCGTTCACGGTACCACGGATTTTCATCCAGAGTTCACCCATGGAGTTCTTCTTCCGCTCATCTTCTCATCTACCCCATCTTGTTCAGGGTCACACCACCACCCCACCCAACATCACACCCTCACTCCGCCTAGCAGCACACTCCTAGCACACCCAGTCACACACCACCACCCCACGCAGCGTTACACCATCACCCGACCAGCATCACACTATCACCCCGACCAGCATCACACTATCACCCCCGACCGGTTATCACAATATCCCCTTCCATTGTCGCACATGACCCCTCCCAGCAGCAGCCACACTCTCATCCCTCCCACCTTTGACGTCATCATCCAGTCAAGCGTCACACTACCATTTCACCCGAAACTACACCATCACCACCCAGCATAACACAATCATCCACCTAGCATCACACAATCATCTCAACCAGCGTCACACCATCACCCCGCTGATCACTTCTCCAGCGTCACACCATCACCTCGCCGATCACCTCTCCAGCGTCACACCAATCACCTCGCTGACCAACCCTCTCCAGCGTCACACCATCACCCTTCCGAGCGTCACACACTCACCCCGCCGAACATCACATTGTCACTTTGGCGAGCGTCACACCATGACGCCGTGAGCTGCGTCCCGAGTCGCCTCTGTCGGGGTGCGGCTCTCGCAGAGGCTGGTGCAGGAGGCTCCTCGGTACAGGACGCCGTTTCCGCGCGTCGCCAGCCACGCTGACACCGCGTGGTACAGGTAAAGATATTCCCTCTGAAAGTGGTGTCGTGCCATCACAGGTGCGGTGCGGGCGTCAAAACCGGTCCCGGTCTGAACGGGTGGCACTGTGGGAGAGCGGGTGCGTTCCGCAGGTGACACGGCCACGGCCGGCCACGTGTGACACGGCCGGCAGCTCAGGCTGCCCCGTACTCGAAATCATGTTTGCGCATCTTTTGATTGCTCTGCGGCGCATGTGACTGCCGTGGATACTAGTGCAGCAATCAATCACGGTATTTCGCCAGGCAGACAGTAACGAAGACAGTAATAAACACCAAGCTGACTGTGTTCCGGCCATAAGACAGGCGTTTAATGACATCTGTGGGAAATAAGGAGGCACACCTCAATGCCCAAAAACAGGCGTGTGCTGCAGTACATCGTCATGGACGCAGGATTTTATGACTCAAAGGATACAAAGGATACAAAGGATACAACGTGAAGGCCACACGGTTTCAAATGACGTCATACAAACGTACCCGGCGCATCATCGCTGCAGCGGCCAGCAGACATTATGGTGATGCTATAGTCGAAGCGGGGCGGGGGATGAACTCTACCGATGACTACAACAAAGGTCACGAAGAGCCGATGGGCACGTGGGTGTGAGGCAGTGCCCGGAAAGGATGTGAGAGGGGCTGTGTCAGAAGCGTCACTCACCGACCAATTCGATGGAGAGCTGTCGGAGAAAGCAAACAGAGATGGATGGTTTTCAAACCGACGTTAGCGAGTAAAGTGAACAGTGGGGAGGGGGGGGGGGGGGCGCAAGGAGGCTGGTAGAGGCGAAATGACGTTGAGACTGAGTCGTACCATGCTTTTCCAGATGCCTGGACGTCTCTGATGGTAGAGCTTGGCGTACGTGAATACATCAAAGCACGCCTCATGCTGCAGCTGCCGAAGCGCCGTGCCCAGAAGACAAAAGCTGGCTCCTTCCGTGCCACCGTACCTGCAACAACGGCACTAACATGTGGCTCGGAGCGTGCAGCCTCCAGTCAGCCTGGCAGCAGCAACACTGTTGCCGCTTCGTTGCCGCTCAGGTGAGGGAAGGGGCAGTGGCCCAGATGTTAACATTCTGTACATCCACTCCGAAATGGAGCCGTCCATTCCAGTCGGCTCAGGTACAACCGAGGACGCGCCGTCTCGGGGTTACAGCGCGCTTGGGACAAGTCCGCACCCAACGCCAGTATCTGAGCATTTGCTAGATGTCGTATCGCTTTCTATGACGCAATTTGAGGCTTATGTGGCTCATTTTGAGGTATGTAAGGCACATTTATATTCGGAACAACAATACAGCTTTCAGACGTCATGACAATATTCGCATGTAACAGGGGTGACAGACGTCCTTTTTTTGTTTCTATACGTAACGTCCAAGGTTACCACGCATCATCTGTCAGGAGACCGCTCTATGGTCCAGTACCTGGACAGAAGACCGGTTAATACTTATGGAAAAATAATCACCAACGGGCTGTTACCAATAACAGGCAGAGTCGGAGGAAACATCAAGTGCGCGTAAAAAAGAATGTAAGTGAAAGTACACACAAGTTACCCCCTCGAGATTACAACAAAGTGAACTATTGAAAGACGTGATCAACAAATACACATCAGTCTTGCTGTCGACAGCAGCTGTCTTAATGATAAACTTCAGGTGGGCGCATGCGGGAGGGAGAAAGGCAGGAGTCACCGGCACCCCGCCGTTTTATCCAGATGGAACCGGGATATCATATCAGGGCACCCCAGCTGGGACTGGCGGGCCCTCATATGTCAGTTAGAGGACCTATTCTCCCTATCCGGGGCCACTAGGACAACGATGGGGAGGAAAAGAGAGAGAGAA